ATCCCTTAGAAGAAACACAGTTTCCATACCGGATTATACTTGTGCATGCAGCACAAGACACACGCTTGCCCTGTTAGTTTTTCAAATTTTTACAAAAAAGTAGCTCTGGGGAATATTTTATCTACATTTGTTGCTTTCCTAACTGGGCGACACAGCTATGTGGTCTTGACAGAGGACTCTAGTCCTTCATGGTCAAGAGGAAAATGAGCATTTTTTGGAGATGTTGCATTAGACAAGCCCAAGTACGTTGCTCTTGTTCCAGCTTCTATTTTGCTTTTTAAATAGTGAAAGAAAGAAAAGATTGCTAATTTGTTAGAGCATTCACCTCAAAAGGAAAGATAATTCATTGATTTAATTAAATTAAGACATTTCTCATTTAATATAACTAAGTGTATATCAAAACCAGAGTAAAATCCTAGCGTGACTACTGCCTTATAGCAATTCTCTACCATCAGGCCACTGTTTCACCGGAATTCATCAGTTTCCTCTGATTCTTAATCATTAAGCAACATTCATTTCATTAGGCTATCCACTTCAAGAGGTAGAGAGGAGGCAGAAGAAAAAAATCTGTTGTGAGCACAAGCCAAACAACTGGTGCATCTTCCTCATACTAAGGACAACAAAACCTTCACTAGCTGATCATACCTTGTCAAGTTTCCAGGCATCCAGAAAGTACATAAATTCCATATTTCTGTGTGCCACTCCTTCAACACTACTCATAGATCCTTTCACTGTTTATATAATTCACCTGTCCCTCCTCGGCTTTTCCATTTTGTCTATTCGAACTTGCTCAAGACAACAAGCATTTGCAACCAGGAAGTGGAGAAGTGGAGAAGTGCTGAGAGAAAAAAACCAGAAAGACACCTGGCAGTGTCTGTGTGTTGACACCTGCACTCACTTTCTTTATTTCTCATCTCATAAACCTTATTTTTGTGAGGAATACAGGCTCTGCACAACAAAATAAACCCTAAGGCAGAACTAAATAGGACAGGATGGAGGTAAAGCAAAAATATCAACCTTTGTAAAATCATTTCATTCCAGAGTTCACAGGCCCAGTGACAGCAACCAGAAAAGGTCAGCTCTGATTGTCATGGAGTCCATTTATTTGAGGGAGGAATGATTGTCACCACTGAATTTTTTCTTATACAAAGAATACCACATCAAGACAGTCATCTCATGTGCTCTGATAATGAAAGACAACTAATGGCAAGCAAATTACTGGTAAATTTGCAAGGCAAAGTACCATACCCAGCAAACTGTTACAACTGCTTCAAATGGAAACTTGCATTCAGGCCTTGCATTGAAAAAAAGGCACAAGCAAGTCTCAATCAGAGAGACCTAAAGTAACCCAGATGATCTTACAGACAAGTTCAAGTGCATAACTCTTACTTGAAGCTGCCCTGAATAAAAACTAACCAAAGGTTAAAAATGAAGTGTTGTACTGACAGTAGCTAAGAAAATAAATTAAGAAAAAAAAAAGGGCCTCAACAAATGAACAGGACAGCCAAACAAATAGGAATTTGGCTTTATAAAAACTCCACCAAATTAAACATTTAACTATTTCTTCAAGAAGGTGGCCAGAGCACACATGCCAGGGCAGAAACAGAACTGCAGTCATCCAGCCAGCCTTGCAGCTCCCTCATTACTATTACCTCATTACAGCCTCAGAGCAGGCACTCACAAAGCCTTGACAGGGCACATATATTAATAAGTTTCACAAAGGCGAGCAACATTTCCAGCTTGCAAAGTACTCTATTTATGGTGTCCACTCTACCCTAAAAACTTCCACCCCAAATCTTAAGTCTATCTGTAGGCACAGCTTTTGGGAAGGAGAATTCATGGAAACCTTGCATTCTCTTCTCTGTCAGACTGCAACCCTATCACAGGTTCATCCAAACCCCCATTACTGAACTCCAATGGCTTGCTCTCTAGGCAGAACCCTCCTAATCTGCTGCAGCTGAACTTCCTCAGCCTATCAAGGAGGAAATCCTTTTATTGCTCTGGCCTATAAGCCTCTTATCTCCTAATTCTGTGAGGCTGAGAAATAGCTGTGCTGCTCATTAATCCTCCAATGACTGTCAGAAGCGGATATATACCTTCTCACTCTACTCAAACACAAGTAACTAGGTTTCATCAAGTTCTTTACTATCTACTTAGCCGAGTCCCACTCCATGACATTTTATAGGAATTGGAGTAGCAGAACAGAAGCTTCTGCACTTTCATGAAATATTCAGGATAATTCTAAAGTTGGAAAGACCCTATTTTATTCACTACACTAGAGATAACAGCAAATTGTTTAAGGAAAGAGCAATTTTTTTTTCTTTTTTCAAGCAAGTGCAATTTTGGCTAAAAGTGCTGTATGGATGACTATAAAGACTTTCCACTATAGTTTATATATACATCATTAGTTTAAAATGAGATTTTTCTCAATTTATTACTAACTCACATCATCCATGACCTTCAAAGACAGTTCAAAGGGAAGAAAAAATAATAACCAGTTGACTTCTTGGATTAACTAATACCTTCAATTAGCACGCCCAAGAAATGCTGAAGGTTGTTGGTTTTTCCCTATATAGAACATTCAGCCAAGGAGAAATTAATAAGCCAATTTTTTTATCATGATTGATGTCTTCTATTTCTCTGTATGCAGTGAAAACGTACTACAAATAGCTACTAAGCACCACTGCAAATATGACACATAATGTGCATTATTTAATATTTCACATTTATGTACCCAACGAACAATCATAGGCCTACCTGTGTAAATCAAAACAAACCCAAACCCTTCTATAAAGTTTGTGTTGAGTAAAATGTTAAAGTGGCAAACAGCGTTAAGATCACAGATATCTCACGTCAGCTGTACCTTTTATTTTAACTATAAATGTCACACTTCATCATGCAGCTGCCAGCTTCCCTTAATGTACTAAATGCTATCATGTAAGCACAGAATCTGACATGATGTAACACAACAATTAAAATAAAAAGCAAGTCGGCTTTGACATAATGTCACTTTTCTGTTTGCTGCAAATTAAAGGAAAATCAAAACTTGGAAAGTAAAAGCCAGTCAAGAAAAAAGTTTGCAAAAACCCCTCAAACATCAGTTAATGCTTTCCTTGAATGTTATGTCACATTTTTACATTGAACTTTAATATCCATAGCTTTAGCACAACTAATTATAATTTGACACCAGAAGACATCGGGAAGAAAATCTATAACTTCTAGAAAGATTCAAGTGTAATAAACACAGTTCTAGCTGTCAGTTCCATACCAGCCAACATCTATGGAACTAAGCAATTATTTTTCACTTTCTACCCTACTCTTTTTCAGTTTATATCCATTCTGTGGGACCGCTACGGCATGTTAAAATTGCTGATGCTTTTCAAACCAGATGCAACAGCACTTAGGTTATGCCTGAAGCAAATCCTAGTAAGAGTAGAGAAATTATGAACTCTAGGTAATTAACACTGAAATTGGTCATGTATTAAAAATTTTAGTTTCATTTACTGTACTTGATGCACAACACAAAATAAAAGTGTCTGAAACAGTGAAAAATAACTTCAGAAAAAAAGGAAAACCATGTATATCTAGAAAAGCATAATGTTAAAAATTAGATTCCTTTCTTTTCGGTGTTATTTTGTTCATTTCCATCAACTCTAACCCCACATTTAATAAATCAGCAACATAAAAAACTTTGGCCCAAGGGAAAGCTAGTGCCATCTGTCACAAACACACAGAAACGTCACATGCCTAATATTTGCTCTGGCCATACCATGACACATTCAAAACCTCTGTGGCCCAGGGAAGAAATAATCACAATGCAGCCTGTTTGCAGTCAGGAAAAAGAGTCAAGCAAAAAGAAGCTAGAGGCCTTTCTTGCAAATGATATAAACATTTCAAGAATACTCCTGTAAAAACATTCACTTGAAACATTGAGTTAACACTTTTCCCCCTTTGTGGAAATAAAAGGAAAAGGGAACATGGGGAATTCTAGAAAGTTTTACTTCTGAATACCACATAACTACAGAATTGTTTTCTGCTTATCTACTTCTACACCCTCCAAAGGATTTCCAGGCCAGTAACCTGTTAGAATAACATTAAAATTAAGAATATCATAATTTTTACTGGAAAAGACTTATATATTGAGTGTTGCTGTGTTTTCCAATATGCTATATTTGATTGAGAATGACAACAAATTGCAGAAAAACCAAGAATCAAAAAACCCAAGGTAGGTAAAAACTAATACAAAAAGACACACAAAAATACATACATGAAGTAATCCAAAAGTAACCTCAAACCTACCCTTACAGTTGTCTCCTAATAAACCAAATCTATGAGTAGAATTTGGACACTGACAAAGCTGCCAGGAATTTGATCATTAAAGACTACTGTTTAACCAAACACTGAAAACTATAATAGTGGCTAGACTTGCACATTTCTAAGAACTTGAGCTGTATTATACCTCAGTGACATTCATGCTGAAGTAAATTTTTTAAAAACTAAAACTAAACAGTATTTCTTGAGGACTATATTCAGCTACATGAAGACTTCAGTGATCACAATGGATGCACACCTTTAAATTATCTGTTCTATTCCTACATTTTTTCCTAGCCCTTGAATAGTTTAATTATTTCTAGAGATATTTGTGTGCACACAGGGGACAAGAAAAGAGAGGAAAGGTCTAGCTCTTGTGGGCATGGACATGTGCAGCTATGAAAGTTTATGCAATTCATCGTTTATATTAATTGTTATAAATTCTCCTGTGCCAGGCTATACATCCACAAGGTTCTTTACATTACAGGTATTAGAAGAAGATGATGTCATTAATTTGCACACCTAGGACTTCAAATGTGAAATACAGAAGAATTAAAGTTTAGAAACAAAACAACCAAAACCTTTTCTACTTTTGACTATTATTATACTTAATATTATAAACAATACAGTCTGAGAACTGAGACTTGAGCTCCATGTTGAAAGGTGATAAAATGAAATACTCTTCATACCTGCACTTCTTAGGTTAGGGTCTAGGTCTGGCATTTCCTTGGATGCTTCCGGACTGACGCTGTAGATAGATGCTCCCGCTTCACTGACAATGCTGAAAAATAAAGTGGCAAATAATCAAAACACCACACAGCTGAACAATGCAACTGAAAGACTTTTTAAGTGACTTAAGTGAATATTTGTTGGGGTTTTTTTTTAAAGCCTCACCTTATGTTTTAAAAATATCTTGAATCAACTGAATACTTACAAAAGTACGACAGCACAAAGGAAAAGATCTCCATTTAAGCCAAAATACCCCTCCCTGACCTGCAACATTTATTCTTTTTCAATTCTGGCCTTATTATAAATACACATTGTGCATAATATCAGCCCCTGTATCAATCTTTACAGAAGAGAAAATGAACACAAGAAACAAGGGTTACCAGGTGTAAACAGGCAAATCAGCTTTCATAAACAAAAACAAGTCTACCTGATAATTTCATTAAAAACACCTACATTCTAAAGTCTAACATTAAACAATTACATGAATCCAAGTCACGAGCATGCACATACATTGTCTCAAGCCAGCTGCCTAAAACACTCAAAAAACCCCAACTTGATGCAGACTGAGCCACAGAACTGCAGCTCGCTTCTCAGCGGCATTTCATACCGTCTTCTCCCCGCTCTCACTGCCATCCCCAACGAAAAACACAGACTGCATGTCTTCAGTAACTTAAGCTACAGTTCATGTACCTACCACACACCTCAAATTCACTCAGTAATGATGATAAACTCACCAATTCAAATCACAGCACATAATTAAAAAACCTTCGAGTGCTCTAGTTCCACTCAAGAGAAAACAGCAATTCAGTATTCACAGTCTAAGTTATTTTCAGCTGTGAAATTCTGACACCACAGAATCAACAGTATATTTCCTCGAATAACTTCAGTAGAACTTGAATTTCAGGTTGATAATTACAGCATCATACAGCTAATGCACTGGAAGTTAATACTATCAGTGTCAGAACTATTTTTACTTTTACTATCCCCCTTTTAGAATAACCTGATCTTTGCCATAAGGAGAGAAACCATCATCCTTAAGAAATAGACCTTTCAGTAAAAACCCTAACTTTGCTTTATATGGTTTTAAAATTGGACTATAAATTTTCCTTTTAAGAACATTTAGTAGGTTGAATTTTTAAATAAAGAAATTGATACTCAGAAGCCACTCCCTTTAGAAAAAGCCGGAGAACAACTCAGAGGTAAAATATGTTCCCATTCAATGTTTTGAGCACGGTAACAGTAAACAGTGTAAAATGCAGATACAAAAGGTAAGACTTTCTTACTGTTGTTTGTGCAGATTTCCCCCTTCCCTAATCAAAACTGGAATTCGGTGGAGTGCTGTGCTGAGACAGATCTTAAAGTTACTCAAAAGAGCATTTCAATATTACAGACAGACTGGATCTCTCAATAAATACAGAGAATAAAATCCTGTTCTCTGTAGTATTAGTGTAACTCCAGACCCATTCAAACAACTAGTTTAACAGAGTAAAAAAATCCTCAGACCAGCTGAACAGGGCAAGTGAAAATGAAACTATTTACATGATCTTTTAAAACGATTCAGTCTTATGAGCATTCCTTCACCATAAATGACATTCATAAAACATTCTCATCACAGAGTTCAGAAATAAGATCATATCACAAAAACCTAACAAAGATGTTGACAGAAATCTAATAAAACTGATTTTTCTGATGAACGGGTAGTTTAAAGAACAATGCAGCAGAACATATTTCTTAACCTGTTCGCACCTTATAAAGGCAGCATCTGGCAAGCTCTTTCTTTTTGGATATTGCTTCTAAAAAACCACACATGTTAGCACACACTTCTAACAGCTTTTCACTAATCGCTCTTCAATCTTTGTATTGAACCAGATCGCAAAAGTTACCTCTCAGGCAATTTCTAGATTTAATGCATTGATAATACACTTAGATTAAAAAAAAAAAAACAAACACCACAACAGCGTTTTGCACACATTTTTACAGCACTGTGCTATAAGCTGTGCTACTGCATACAGCTTATTTCTTGATCCCTTCCCAGTATTTTGTGCAGTGAAAGAAATAATGTGACCTACATGGCAATTTTAACACATTTGACATTTTATTGATTCTCATTAATGCTACACTGCCAATTTTTAGAAGCAGAAGAATTACAATAATACTGTCATTCTATGGTAATATGTGAATGGTGCCAAATTTTAAGGTAGGTAGCACACAAACTTGCTAAAATGAATAAATGCAATTAAAACTCAGGATGGGAGACAGAAAAAAGCACATTTTCTTTCATCAAGAGCAAAAACATTTACACACTGGGGCAAGGAGAAGGGGGGAAGACAAGTAAAAGAATTATTTCAAGCAAGAGAACAAGATCTAAGTAGCACTTTCAGAAGCAGCATACACTGGATACCTGACAACCACTCTGACTGAGATGGTTTTGTAGATGCATGCAGTTATTCTATGAAGTATTTGGTGTGGCAGACATGGAAAAGGGGATGAAGAATTTTCACTCAGGCAGAACCCCATAACTGCTGCACCCAAGACAGTAAAACCCAGATATTAAATAAATTTGTTACCCAGATTAAATGCATAAGGCCACAAACTCCAAAGAAACCATCCTCTGAGTCATTCAACCACAGTCAAATGCAAACTTTTACAAAACTATTACTGGCTGTCATATGGTTTGATTTAGCTTGTTTTTACCTACAGTGAGGTGGTTACTAATGTGACACTGGCACATACAATGCTAAAACATTTAGCTTGGTCAAAATACTAAGATTACAAGCAAAACAGGTTTTGGGATTGTCTGCAGTTGTTCTGGATTTTATTTTTTGACTAGAAAGGAGACGGTTACTTTGGTTCACTGATATTTTGGTTTATTTCCAAATTCTAATAATTCTCTTGAAAAGGGAGATGGTTCATAGGACAATTTAAGCTAATTCAATGTTGCAAAATGCTCTGCATCATGCCTGTCAAATACTACACATATGTCAGCTATATTAAGACAAAACCAACTCTGTTCAAATGAGTAGGCAACAGAAATTTATTTCAAACTACTGCACAGTCCACACTGTTCTTCAGTCTCCCCTTCCCCTTTTAATAAATGATACAATTTTCAAGACAGTCAAATGAAAAGCTTCATAAGAGTTGGTGAAATTATATCTAAAATCCTGTCTATCTTCAGAATTTGTTTCTATTTCAACTTTGTAAGTCACATAATACAGGAAACCTGAAAAACTTGACTCCCCCACCCCTCACGAGACCCTTATTTCTGTGCATTGCGTAAGAGGAAAGATCCTTGCACTGACTAAAACGTAGACAGTTAAAACAGCATTATTAAACAGCTATTTTTAAAGTCAATATGTAGTAGGTAAATAAGCACATGGTTATGATACAATATGCTTCTACTCCATGAATGGACAAGTTTTGAACAAACTTGTAAAGAGTCTGGGACTACGCCTCCATACTGTCTGCTTCCCACACCAGACATCCTACAGATAAGGTTTTTTCCTCAGCATCTATATCCAACTTCTAAAAATTAAAAGTGCCCAAATCACAAAGCTACTACACGATATTACAATGTACTCTTTTTAATTGTACAAATAAGCTTGTTGCACAGAAACTAAGTTTTCCTATACTGCACCCGTCTCATTCTCATTTGTTAAGACACATTTTAAGTACCTAAAGCAACATTAAATATATTCCACCAGCACCACCTGGTGGGCCCTCAGCTTTATGCTACACACCATGCCAGCTGTATTCTAAATACTTTAAGGAGCCTTTTAAGACTTACTAAAGCAAGTAATTTTCTTACTCAGCTTAAATAAGTATTATATATTTGGTCTGAAAAGACGATTTGATTTGAAAACATTCATATTTTCAATTTTTTAATTTCTACAAGAAAAAAAGCCTTTCTTGTAAAAGGTAAAAAAAACCCCAACAAACCAACTAAGAACACTTAGAATTTTTTTTTTAATCAAAGCTATTATATATCTACAAAAATGCATAACCTTAAAGATTACATGTAACAAACTAGTTACCAACAGTTGTTTAACTAAATTACAATTTTTAAAACTTGCAAGTTTCTCCGGTAGTAAATTTTCACTGTAAACTCTTTCAAAACTATGTGAAAAAATCTAATGTATGTATAACAAAAAAAGATATCAGGTTCAACGTTTGTGGGTTTAAAGACGAATGCACCTTCCTGACATTTCCATGAATCTTATCAACATTTCAGACTCTTACATTGCATTGAGGTAATTTCCCCACAATCAAATTCAACACAGGACTAATGACCTATAAAGAAAGAACTTTACATAACTTACTGTTTCTACAACCTCCAAATCCTGGATTTACAACTTAAATCTTTAAAAAAGCATTTTAAGAAACAATGCCAGCACAAAGAGTTGTCTGGTGTTTATTACTTGGAAGAAGACTATGGTCATTCTAAAAGCAAAGGGCATGTCAATCTCAAAATGGGCCAAGATTTTAATATTTGGTCATAAAATGATGATCTGCCAAAATAACTCCCTTCACAATCCAAATTTAGTAATTGTGCTTAATTCCTCTAACCCAACCTTTTACATGTTAATCGATAAATATTCTTCATAAACTTGTGGCAACAAAAGCCAGAGGCTCCCCCAAAGTACAGCAGTACAAAAGGGTCAAAGGTTTATTTAGTGCTACTTACAAAAATAATTGGTTTATGAATCATCCAGGACAGAAAAATAAAATTAAATAAAATGACAAAATATTTGCTAGAAAAGAATGTTGCATTTAGAAGTTCAGTTGGAATGTATCAATCTTTAATTATGTTGACAGATGTAGTGATTAAAAACAAAGTAAGAAGGGGCAGGGAAGACTTATTTAAGCACATGCTCTTAAGATTGGGCTATTTCATGAACAAGAAATCCATTGGGCCTTACTGAAAAACACAGAAGTCACAATTAGTTCCAGAAGAGCCTAAAACCTAAAAGGGTTGAGAGCTACACTAGAGAATAAGATGCCTGCATCTGTTGTTATATGTCTCCCTATATACCCATTTTTGATGACTAAGGAAAG